ATGAAATCGGGTTTGACTGGGTTAATGAAGATGGACATACACCATGAAATCTGGTCTACTCTTATTTCAATTTCAAACTGTCAATTTTACGTGCAAACTAATGTGTACACGGAACCTCGGTTTTTCGTCATATCGACAATTAGACACTGTCACTTGTCAGGCCCTCCGTACTTCATCCCTGACAACTTTCTTGGCCAACACCGTGGTCGAACATAGGTACTCCGGGTTAATGAGCTCGTGTCCTACTCACTGTAAGTTCGTTAGATTAAAGTTCATATCACTTAAAGGACAATATTGGTGTCAGTCATTATAAAATATGTGATAGAGCTCGTTAAATACATCTCAAATATAATTTTAACACAGAGATCATTGCTACGGGAGACTTGTAACAAGCACGTGAAGAAACGGGAAGTGACGTCAAACATGAGTTGTCCTTCTATATAACTGACTGAAGTAACGAGCGGTAACAGACAAACGATCGAATTTCATTTCACTGATAATTCCGTGGAAGATGAAAAGTTGTTATATGAGACGAGGAGAGGATATCTGACAATTCAAAAAAAAAAGAATTGGCTGTCAGTAGATAAAAGATAACGAACAAATTAGAAAAAGTCCGTGCATTACCATGTTTTTATTAAGAACAGAATGAATAAAAACTGGGGAATGCACGGGATTTTTCTACCTTTTCTCGTGTCTCCTATCTAGTGATACCCAATTCTATTTTTGAATTGTGAGATACCCTCTCACCGTCCCATATAATAACTTTTCAACTTCAACGGAATTATCAGTGAAATGAAATTCGATCGTTTGTCTGTTACGGCTCGTTACTTTAGTCTGTTATATAGAAGGACAACTCGTGTTTGTCATGTTTGGCGTCACTTCCCGTTTCTTCACGTGCTTGTTACAAGTCTCCCGTAGCAATGATCTCTGTGTTAAAATTATATTTCGAATGTATTTAACCAGTTCTATCACATATGTAATAATGACTGACACCAATATTGTCCTTTAAGTCTTCACGGGTGTTTCATAAACCCACTTTATATTATACCACCCGGGAGTTATATTTACTTATATCCAAATATTTTAAATATCACGTCAGTAACACTAACATGATAATATGGGTTAATTCTGTTCTTAGTAACACAGTATGATAGTAATGACATCACAGTATCCCATCCGTAATATTCTAGAATGCTAATTCACAAGAATTTCAAAATTCAATCATTTGGAAACCACACGATACAAATGTCATTTACAAAAATAAAGATTCACACTATCAAAAGTGCAAATTTATACGATATAAGAAATATAAAATTTACATAGAGACAAAGTCTAAAATATGATTTTGTCAAATTTGTTTGACAAATGTGTCTGTACACAGACAACTATTTACTTCGAGAATAGATATTGACCCTGGATGGCCGCCTCCGTTTCACACCTGTCCTAAACACAGACTAAATAAACCGTTCCAATTTTATTAAAGATACATTATGTAAGGTTTAGATAAAGAAATAGCCATTCTTGCTATAAATAGTTCGAAAGTAGATGATGTAAAATGAATAATTTGAAAATTTCATTCAAATTACTCTATTGCGAGCGAAGATATTAGCCTTTGAAGGTTTGACAGACGTGTGCAATAATTTCAACCACCGTACTGGTTGATCGAAGCTAAGTCTCGGTCCTCCATATTTGATTACATCAAAGTATCGCTGAACCATTCTAATCTATTTAATATCGGAGAAATCTGATGCCATCGAGAGTTGATTAAGGCCTGGATCAGTTAATTAATGTCTAATTAGTACTTTAGAAAACATTTCAGGCTTAAAGAAAGACCTGCAATAGGCAGATTTAGCTCTTGCATAATGCATGTTTAAATAGAAGCGGAATAAATTAAATAGTCAAATTATAGAATTATAATGTCGGTCAACTAACTTAGTGTTTGTTCTTAAGCGGGGTTAATTGTAAACAGACAGCGTAAGTTTAGTAATCAAATTGTAGTTAATTATCTGAACACATCTGAACACATTCAGGGGGATCACGTGGCTAAGTGGGTAAGACGCTGGCTCGCTAGTCTGGAGGTCGGGTGTTCGATCCCTGCATTGGCCGAGAAAGTTCATCCAGATTTTCCGGCGTGGTTTCCCCTTGTCAGTGATGCAGGACGGAGGGGCTGACAAGGACAGCTGTCTAGTCGTTCGGATGGGACGAAAATTGAGGTCCCGTGTACACATTGGAGTGCACGTTAAAGATCCCTTGGCAGTTGGAATTCGATATAAGAGTAGGCCGTAGCGCCGCTGCCCGGGCAAAATTTCCCTCATAGCACACTGTATGGCGTATGCCCGTCTTCATTAGCCCAGGTTTGGAGCAGAACAGTAGGACGTTAAACCCCATTTCATTTCATTTCATTTTTTGAACACATTTAACAAGTCATAAGACATTTTTCAAAGAACACGTTAAAATAAACATATTATGGGTTTATCTCACTAACAAACAATCAAAACATCGATTCGCTCCAAATTTGAGAACGCGATCCTTCCACTTTGAGAGTATATAACACATTCTTCTCTTTGGCAATACAAATGAATTTATCTCATTTTTCCGATGAAAAAAAACCTCTCCCGTAAATATAAGGCCATAAAAAACGACTTTACCGTAAAAATTGTAGCAATTAAAAAAGATACTTTTCCGTAAATATCAGGGCAATTAAAAAAAAAACTTTCCCGTAAATATCGAGACATTAAAAAACACATTTCCCGTAAATATCTTGCCAATTTAAATATAAACTTTCCCGTAAAGATATGGTAAATTAAAAAAAAAAATCCGTTAATATCAGGGCAATTAAAAAAAAATTCTCTTGTATATCGGGTAACTTTTATATACAATAATAGTTCACTTCTTAATGATGCATATGTAAGAGCTAAATCTGCCTATCGCAGATCTTTCTTTTGGACTCAAATGTTATATAGGTTAGCAGATAGTTAGCAGATATTCATTCACATGCCAAATCAATAATCAACTCTCTAGAGCATCGAATAGCTGTGATTTTCCACGGATTTTAACACAATCACAAGTTAATAATCTGATTAATAAATGGATAATCGAGACTTTTGTGGAGGAAACAGCCTTTGTTAACCGGTCACGTGACTCCATACGGCTCTACACATCAGTTTACGCCCAGACTCCTTACCTCCACTCCGTTACTACTACACTTTGTTTATTATCGTTACAACGGTAGCAGTGACAATCAGGCTACACTAATTTTCTAACGGCAGTAACTCCGCTCTCTGAATGACGTAATTTGACTGAAATGTTCAATATATCCCCTTTTCACTAACTATTTTGTACCTATTATAGTGAGAACTTTCAGTTCTTTGTCGAAATCTTACATTATGCATCTTTAATATAAACTGGCTAATAATTAATTTGTTACAGCTATGTTGCGTTGTATATTGAGGGAAGAATTATAGACATATAAATTGAATCATACGTTAGTCTCGAAATAGTTTGTGTCGAGTGGACGTGAAACCCCACTTCTCGCTCTCTACGATAGCTGTACCTGGTAAACCACTCATGTCTGTTAGTGTATATAGAGGTCAATGGCCTTCGTGCTTGCGGGAAGGCCGTCTGTATTGCAAAAAAGTGTACATATAACTGGTTAAAGAGATCGCCAAGAAATATTCATTTATTAAAATCGGGGTTTAACGTCCTACTGTTCTGCTCCCCGACTGGGCTAATGAAGACGGAATACGCCATACAGTGTGCTGTGAGGGAAATTTTGCCCGGACAGCGGCGCTACGGCCTACTCTTATATCGAATTCAGGGGATCTTTTACGTGCACGCCAATGTGAACACGGGCCTCTATTCTGCACAACTGACAAGTGGGAACCACGCCAAAGCAGGGATCGAACACGGAACCTCCAGGTTAGCGAGCCAACGTCTTACTCGCTGAGCCACAGTCACTCTCGGTAGCTATATGACAACCTCGACAGGACAAACGACATTTACTGAGCTGTCGATATTGGCATTAAAAATTATCTACTGATATTTTATTTTTCTGTTTCAAACATTTTGACCTTTTTATATAATGGCGATGATATTTATAATGTACTAAATTCTACATAAGTTATTAACCCAGTTTCTAAGAGTACTGATAAAGTCTGATTACCCCCTTTACTTTGAAGATTTTTATCAACCATATACTTCAGCTATATATATTATCTTAATTAAGATACATCCAGCTAGTCTGATTAACAAATTGGTTTCTTCATATATATAGCGACCACGACATGGAACGAACGCAATGATCAAGAAGTTATAAAATGTTATCAATTATTCTACGAACGTCATCTGCCTTCTTCACGACATTTATTACTGCTCTGACAATTTCGCTTCTCTCTAAATGGGTCGAAATGAAATGAAATGGGGTTTAACATCAATTTTCTATACCAACCTAATATGCAATGTGAAATGGGCTGAAAATTTACTCTACCGGTGGTGCTGTGGCCCACTGTCAAGGGATCTCTAAAGTGCAACGTCTATGATGACCACAACAAAATTAATTGCTTACACATAAAGCAAATTGATTTGAAATCAGGTACAAAATGCTCTTTTCGTCTCATTTGATGACAAACAAAACATACCTTTAACCACTTTTCAGAACACAAACATAATATAATATGCAGTTGGGCAATTAACTTGTGATGTTCCTAATGGAATGGATAAAAAAACAAGTTGATCAAAATATGAACGCATTGTAATTAAACAGAATACTCATTAAACACAGCTAGCTAGATTATAATTTACAAAGTGTTAGCTATTAATACCATAGCGTGTAAATTGTTACTCACTTTCAATTGATCCATATCCAAGATAGTATCATTACTGACAGTTTATTGATTAAATTTGATCACGGAGCCTATAAAAGCCCCAATATCAACCAAGAAACCGTTGCTTTTTTGTTAGTATTCCTGGATAGAGTATACCGACAAATAAGTTGTGGGATTGTGGAGACAACGGTATCCCCGTCAGCATCTCTGTAAAACTTTACATCGATTTTATTCCACTGTGTTAATCGTTGCTGTGTCCTCGCATGGTTTATATTATTATTTGGTATCTACTGAAGCATACCCTTAACTATAATTGAATTATTAATATGCCATACTTTTAACGCTAACACAGTCCAGCATATAATTTTATTAGGCACAGGTGATAGACTAGATGTTGTGCTTATTTTACATACAGATGTAATAAATATTTCTGTATCGCAGTTGTTCTAAATAATAACCAGCGTGTTTCTTCGCCATTATTGTGAATCACTCGGGCAAGACATTTTTGTTTTTGACGTTAAACTTGTTTTTTGCGGTGCTCATTAGGAGTTGCAAACTTCCATCATGTAAGTATGTTAAATTAATTTTCTTTTTTTGATTGTTTAATAACTTGACATCGGTTCTTTTAAAATTTATTTTAAGGCATTCAACTTTTGTATGATAAATTCATATTGAAAATGCGGTTGTGATAGTTGTAACTGAGAACTTGTAGACATTTTACATTTTCTTAGAGAGAAGATGCTTCTTGGAGGATTATTAACCTGTAGTATCATGAATATGTTAAATAATGGACATACACCGTTAATCTGGTAAATTATATTATCAGATTTTAAGATGTCATACTTGTAAAATTTAAAGATCTGGTAGCTATTTCTTGAGTGTTTTATCTTAGATTTATAAAAAACCCATTTAAATTATAGTAGTCTTCACGCCCTTCTATTAATTACTTAAAGATTCATTATGTAAGATTGAGATAAAGAGTTGACAGTTATCGCAGTTTTTTAAAAACATAATGAAAAAGGAATAGATAAGAATACTTGCTACCATTGTTACGGTAATAAACAAAGTCTCGATAACAGAAAGATCAGCAATAGGCAGATTTAGCTCTTATATAATGTATCTTTAATGAAATGTACCAATTAACTCATGTTAAATGTTTATTATTTCCTAACTTTACTATAAGCAGCATCTTCCTTATCGGCATGTACCCCCTCAATGTAAGGGAATACATTATAAACCCCAAAAAAATTCAAAAAAATGAATGGGGTTTAGTGTCCTACTTTTCTGCTCCGTTTGGGCTAATGCAAACAGGCATACGCCATGCAGTGTGCTATGAGGAAATTGTTTTACCCTTACAGCGGCGCTACGACCTACTCTTATTTCAAATTGCAACTGTCAAAGGTTTTTTTACGTGCATGCCAATGTGTACACGGGACCTCGGGTTTTCGTCCCACCCGAATGACTACCCCCAGTCCTACACCACGGACACGGGGGGGGGGGGGGGGGTCACGCCGCAAAATCTTTCTCAGACAACACCGGGATCGAATACGGGACCACCACGGCTTCGAAACTTCAAATAAAAAGTGAACTAGTTTTGCAAGAAACAGTAATCATATCCTGCCAAGTACAGGGTCACATCTCCGCCCTTATTGCTAGTATAAATATTTTTGAAACTAACTGGTAAGTCTCTTTGTCTATAGCGGGATTGGATGGCCGAATGGTTAACACGTGCGCGCTCTATCATAAGGTCTGTCATTGAGTCAACTGACGTGGTTTCTATTTCCTACTTGTACATGACAAGGAGTAGGGTCGTATGTCCAACCTTGTGGGTTTTCTCCGGGTCCTCCGGTTTCCTCCCACTGCTAAATACCCCTACGCGCAAGCGAATTATTGAAATAAAATCGAACCATGTGTTAGTCCCGAAATGACCTAGTTTGGGTCGAGTGGACGTCAAACCTCATTTCTCTCCCTCTCTTTGTCTATAAGAAATAAAATTCAAGGTCTCATATATACGTACACGCCAACGAGTACATGGGTGGATCTAGGTTTATCGTTCCATTCCACCGACTAGACACATTGCTTGCTCTTGCCCCACACCCTCGTCCTTTCCGCGTTTGTAACAATTAGTTGCAGGAACTAATATAACGCCATTGGTTACTTCTATATTGAGATAAGCTGTTCTAAGCTGGTGGTCTGAGATCTTTCACCCATCATTGGCTTGATAAAGGGAAACTAGGTTGGAAATTCACGACAAAATATCCCGGCGTACACCGGGATCGAACACAGACATCCTGCTTACTGAGCCGGGAAGCCATGGTGGCTCTTTAAGTAAGATGTTAACTCGCTAACCTGGAGGTCCTTGTCAGATGTGCAGGAAAGAGGGTCTGGCCTGGGACAACGTATAGTCTTTCGGATTGGACGCAAACCCGAGGTCCCGTGTAGACATTGGCGTGCACGTAAAAGATCCCTTGGTAATTGTAATGTGATATAAGAGTAGGTCGTAGTGTGGCTGTCCGGGAAAACTTTCCCCCATAGCCCAGTGTATGACATATGCCAGTTTTCATTAGCCCAGTCAGTGCAGAACGGTCGGACGTTAAACTCCATTTCATTTCATTTTTGGTTAGTGAGTCAGTTAGTGTCATCTCACTAGATCATTGTGACTCCCGATAAATCAAACAGAACGAGACTTAAAAATGAATTTAAACTATTTTGTCCCGCATCTCCGCAACAGCTGTTTAATTACAAATACAGTTTTAAATTGACACTGTGACTCCCACACAGAAAGCAAAACGTTATTTATTTTAGAGAATATCATATTCAGTATAAACTTATTGCTGATCTGCTCGGCCTAAGAATAAGATATATATCAACAGCATTGTTAAAACGCTTTGAAAACCACTTACAAAATCTGTTCTACTTGTAAATTTATAGTCAATACATATACATATCTCACCGGCTTGGCAGATGTATCTCAAAGTTTGCATAAAATCTAATTTGAATATGCAATGACGTTATATAGAAGCCCTAATGTCTTTCTATGCGACCCAATGTCGCCTTATTACGAAGGTGTAGCAATATGAGTCGCTGGTGAGATGTGGAAAGCGAAAATTCTAAAAAAAACAAACAAACATCCAACATGTGACGCATAGTTGTCTCCTTCTACAGGTTTTATGAGCCTGTATTAGCCTATATTTGTCTCTGGTCATATTTTGTAATCCTTTTCTTAGGACTCACGTTGTGTATTTATTTTTTTATTAGCTGCTATTACGTTTGTCTACCAGAAACAACAGTACTATAGTTACCTGAATACATCTATATATCAAAACAGATTGACATTACAATACTTAAAATAATCATGTCTTTCTCTCCACCCCACCAACTCCCTGATCGAGTTTACTGACGGGCCCTACTACATCATATGGCTCTACAACGAATCAACGGGGTTTACTCAATCCAGATGGTGTCTCTTGAACCTCAACGATATCTCTTAACGAATATACATGTACATGGTATCTGCTTTCTAAAGAATCCGATGCGTGTCTCAAATCTATAGAGTTCAAATCAGTCAAGTAACATGGACAGTGACATTTAGAGCTCTGTCACGCTCAGATCTGGCCATTCACGACTCAGGATCTGTGCAGTTAACTATGTGATGGGTCAATTACACCGAATGATGTAATGGCAATTTTCCATCGTAAGTGTCAGACGTGATATCCCGGTTTTCAACTAGAATTGAATGTCACTCTAATTTTAGCCCAGTTTATGTATCAGCTTAACAATCATTTCAGTTTGTCTATGAATATGGAACCAATAAACGGCCAAGGACATAATTAATACAACGCCCATATTCGCCTAACGTAATTATTCATATAGTTAGCATAAACCACCCAATATTACTAGAAAGCATTAAATTGGAAATTCTGTGGCACCCTAGACTAAACCACGGGCCGTTTGGGTTAATAATGTACAATTGATTAAAACAAATCTCGACAGTTGTTTACTTGAACTCTATTAAAAAAATCCCAAACATTTAATATAAATTATTGCTTTGTGGAAGTTTAACGTGGTCTACTTTCAAGACTATAGTCTCAGACTATTCTTGAAAACCCGGATCAACAAGAAAAGTGTGAAATACTTTGCTGTAAAATGAAATAAAATGTGGTTTAACGTCAATAATTCAGTTCTGAATTGAAAATGAAGTGGGGTATAACGTCCTACTTTTCTTCCCCGACTGGGCTAATGAAGACGGGTATACGCCATACGATGTGCTACGTGGAATTTTTTTTCGGACGTCGACTTACCAAACTCGGTGCCTGGGCAAACCGCGACACCATCTTAACATCGAAAAAAAATTGATTGCTATCTATTATGTGTTTTATTTTTCTGTAATAACATCATTTTTCGACAAAAATAACAAATTAATTATCTTATAACATACTAATAATAATTTTAGAATAACAAGACAGTAACAAAATAGCGAAAATGCTTTCACTACAGCCCGTAATGCTAGGTTCCCACCATCACGATCACGATTTTGAACTAGTGTAGCAACAACGACCAGCAGTTATCTAAATCTTAAAGATACATTATGGGAGATTCGGTAACGAGTTGGCAGTTCTCACTATAATAGTTAAAAACTATATAATGTAAAGGCAATTTGGTGAAAATTCCATTCAAATTGATCCACTATGAACCGAGAACTAAGCGACTGAAATTCCCATAAGCCTCGGTCATCATTACTAAAGTCAGTACGATAAACAGCACAGTCTCGATTATCCATTTAATCGTTTAATAGAGAAGGAAAGTTATGCAGTAAATCGGCTTACAATCCACTAAAGATCGCAGGCTAGTGCTGGCATCTAGAGTTGATTATGGCCTGGATAGGTTAATTAATATCTAATTAATAATTTAGATAACATTTCAGGCCTAAAGAAAGACCTGAAATAGGCAGATTTAGCTCTTGCATAATGCATTTTTAAATAATGCAATTGTTTGTTGGTTTTTTTTTTAGACAAATCCAATATTGTTTTTTAGATGCCATGGTTACGAGTATCATGGGCTCATTAACCGCTGCTATACACTTTCTATGTTAAAGTCAACGACTCAGTGCTGACTGTTAATGAATCTTTAAAGGACAATATTCGTGCCAGTCATTATCACATATGTGATAGAGCTGGTTAAACACATTCCAAATATAATTTTATCTCAGAGATCATTGCTACGATAGCTGAGTAATACAGGTTTCCTGAATCGGAAGTGACGAACGCCAAAGGAAAACACGAGTCACCTCTCTATATAACTGACTGATGTGACGAATGATAACGGATATACGGGCGAATTTCTGCTCACTAATAATTCCTTCGAAGACCAAAAGTTGTTGTGTGAGACTGTGAGAGGATATCTGACAATTCATAAAAAGAATTGACTGTCACTAGATAAGTGAACACGAAAGAAAAACAGAAAAAGTCCGTGCATTACCATGTTTTTATAAGGTATAGAATGAATATAAATAAGGGAATGTACGGAATATTTCTATTTTTCTCGTGTTCTCTTATCTAATGACATT